CTCTGTCCCTCTTGCGAGCTGTGACTAACGATATCTCACGAGCGAATAATCGAGCGTAGGGCGTAGTATAGATAACGAAATCCCGTTCTTTCTCTCCCTCTTTCTCTCACTCTCTTTTGTTTTTCGCTCAATTAACGGAGATTTTACCTCGCTCTTGACTGTCGATTTAATTAATGTCGGCTACTAAAAGGAGCCGCTCGCAGTTTTCGTTAGGAAAAGGACCGATTTTTCCAAAGGCCGCTCATTCTCTCTCTCTCTCTCTCTCTCTCCCCCCCCCTCTCTCTCTCTCTCTCTCTCTCTCTCTCTCTCTCTCTCTCTCTCTCTCTCTCTCTCTCTTTCTCTGGTTCGCTGAAATTTTAACGAGATATTCCGGGCGTGGACATCCTCCGTCGGATTCTTTGCAGTGGGAACCTCCGGTGGATTGCGCGAAGAAGACGTACGGATACGGGGGTGAGGAGTCCGATGGAAGGGATATCGTTTCCAGTAAATTTTTCAGGAGACGCGCGGGGCCACTCCTCCATCCGCCGAAGTTTTATAGTCTATCGATATACGAACGGATTCCCTTAAATTCCACGGTAAAGTTGGAGCCGCGGGGAGGGTTTAATTTGTAAAAGCTAATTTGCCCAACTTTTAAGGTGACTCGCCCGCGACCCCTCTCGCCCTCGTTGCTCTCTCCTATCGGAGATAATCGAGAACACCTGGGACGTGTCGACCGCACGTGCATCGCCCTCTCCTTTTGTTTTTATCGGTGCGAAAAGGGCACGAGGGAAAGCCGAAGGCAGAATCCGTCCGCTTTTGCTCTTTCACTCAGGCGATCGTCTGCGCTAATCAACCGATCGGTTATCTCGACCCGCCGTCGTGCAAAAATTACAAAATATTCCCGACAATATGCAAGAGCAAGATAAATTCGGCACTTTCGTTCGGTGAAAAATCGCAAAAATAGAAGTATCCGATCCACGGTTTTCGGCTGGAACAATAGTCGCGCAAGCGTTCGCGTTGTACAGCGACCTATCCAGCTCTCAAGCTTTGCGCGCGGTTTTCGCTCGCAGTTACCGTCGTCATCGTGTTTTTATTTAATCGGTATCGGGCGGGAAAATATTTCATCGTACGTAACGGCGATAACGATGTGGGCTTGTAAAAATAACCGAGAAAAAGCCGCAGTTTGAGGGAGCGTGATTTTGGCGACGGTAATATTTCAGTGAGAGGAGAGAAAAGTGAGAAGAGAGAAGAGAAGAGAGGAAAGGAGAGAAGAGGAGACACGACACGAGACTCCCGTTCGTCTTCGCGTTCGCCCTTGCGTCATCACGTGGTGGATTCGACGACGAGGAAATTGTTATTAATTACTATGAACCCGCGCGCGCGCTCGGCCGACCGACAATGAGAATCTCCATAAAACTTTAATTGGATCTCGCGCAAAGAGGGCCGCCTCGATGAGCACGCGCAGAATTTTGCCTGAGAGGACGGAGATTAAATCAGCACTAATTATCAACTCTCGATTAGTTCCGCCCGGTCCCGGTAGCCTAACGAGACTATTAACAAAGAAGCTTCTATATACTTCTTTTTAATATTCCCTTTTTGCTCCATTACGCCAAAGTTGCGACTTCATTCTTAACTTTTTCTTCAGCCATTTGGCGAGGCAATTTCTAAAGTCGATCTGCACGTAGACATTTTATAAATTACATCGGTCGTCTCTTGTATGTACCGCGCATTTTCGATTTAGAAATTCTAGAGACAAAGGAAGCGCCCCATTCGATTCCGTTATCGTTCTCCTGTCAGAGATGTTAGTAGCAGAAACCACTCGAAATTACTGGAGACGACACGGAAGCAATCATCGAAATATCGAACACATTTCCAAAAAATAAAGCTCTCGATGACGCTACAAGCCGGGAAGGAAGTCTTTGTCTCTCGGAGGAGCAGTTTTCCCCTCCTTGCCGTTGCTCGCGTTGTCGCTCCTCCCTTTTAGTTCCGACGTCCTCGCAAATCCCTTTCGGACGAAGAAACGGCCGGCCCTCCCCGGTATATACCCTCCGCTCGAAGAAAAGCTCTCGAAGAGAATTCCACTCGAGGTGTAAGCGCTCCCGTTCCTTATTTCGCGCGGCGGCGCCCCGACTCAGCAAAGGGACTACGTGGATTTACTTCGATAACAGAAATACACCGAGATACAATAGCGCCTTGTTTGATGCCAAAGAAATCGACGGCGGAGCTATAGTTCTAAAAGTCCGTCAGATTTTCAAGGCTGAGCGGAGGAGCGACGAAGCGCCTACGACCTTTGTCTCTCGATTTAGTTTGGAGATTCGCGATTTGTACAACGTTGACAGATACTTTACCGATTGTCATAATCTTACGCATTTTTTTTACTTATATAGACAAGATAACAAACGTAATAAATTCATAACCAACATACATTTTATATCGCAAAATTTCTTGCTATAAAGATCCAAGAAAAATAAATTTGACGTAAATTAATTTAAAGAACAATAGTGTAAAGATCTGTTAGATTAATTATTAAAATAAAATATACTTCTAAAAGTAGACCGAGTATTTTAAGTATTCCTTTCCCTTTCTCACGAGACAACAAGATCTAAAATGTATGAGGGTATATGAAGTTTTCAGCGTGGTAAGGAAGGTAAACTTACAATGGAGCACGGTGCGGTAAAGAATCTGAGAAGTGCTGAAGTCGTATCGTTGTGGAAGTCTATCGGTTCCGACGAACACAAGATTCACGACGAAGCTCACGTGGTACACTCAGTCACACCTATGTCTTACCATCGATAAATCGAAGATGATACTTCACTCAAAAGGATATGATGATTTCGATCTTGAATCCGAATGACGTGAATGCGCGAGGAGTATTATATGATAAATTTTTGCCGTCGCGAAAGCACAAAGAACAGTCGACTATTGATTGAATGCACACGGCTGCAGTATATTACAGAATACAAGCGGACTGAGTATACATCTCTTTATAATAGACTGACGTTAACTATCAAGATTTAATGCGTATATCACTGTCGTCGTATTATCGATCTATCTACTTGATTATCACCGAATCTCTAATCTCGATTAAGAAATCCGACAATAATCAGGTTCTATTATAATTTCAAGCAATCAGTCGATGATAAAAACTACTATAAGAGACTACGATACGACACGTCGCGATAAACACCGATTGCATAAAAGAATATAACCGATTGCAGACGAAAAAAAATATTACTCGTTACTCGCATATATCTACCATACGTCCCGACAATTGCACATCGTTTCATCACTCCCAATATTTATTTACACGCGAGACTCACTTTCGACAGATAAACGACGGTTAAAATGCGCGGAGCGATGTCGACTGATGTGTTCATGGCGGCATAATTGAAGATATACGCCGATAGTATGCACTAAAAACATGAATAATGTCGCCCTCCTAGATTCCGTGTACAATATATGGAATAAGTCGTAAAAATTGGCCAATTATAGACGATTATCACGAGAATAATCAGGTATGATTGACTAATTATTATAGTTTACTTCGCATATTGTAGACGAAGTTTTACACGATACGATCTATATACTCTTCTTTCTCTTGCTATCAGACTTACGTTATCCAGGCAAGATTCGATGTTGTCTTACTTTCTTTCCTTTAAATTATCACCGAATTTCCAATTCCTCGTTAATAGATCCGACGATCGTCCGATTCTACTACTACTTAACTCAGTCGATGGTAAAAACAAATATAAGAGACGCCGACTCGACTCGTCGCGACAAGTAACCGGTTCTATATCAAAAACGAGGAAATTATTCGCTACTTACGTACTTACGATACGTCCTGACATCGTTATTTCGCTACTCCCGACACTGACTTACAAGTAAACCTACCCAAACGTTACACTCCAATTTCTTTCTAATTTGGCACAAATGTAGAAGTACAAAAAAAAATATATATATTATAATATAGGTCATATTTTTTTCATTTTGGGCCACTTTGAGTTTCACGAGCAATTTATAGCTTTTTAATACTTTCACTTCTCTATCATCAAATGCAACAAAAATGCATAAGAAACACAATTGAATACAAGATATAGGCGTTTTTGGTTTACTAATTATGAATATAAAGTCAAATATGTAAAATTGTTTGTATAAATAATAAAATGTTCAAACAAAACATGTAAAAAGTTGAAAAAAATTATTTATACAAACAATTTCTCGGTTCGACCGAGATCCGAAACATTTTGAACTAATTTAGCACAAATCTGAAATATTTCAGTTGGAATCTCGGCTAAAGAAATTTAGAATGATTCGTGTCTCAGCTATGCCAATTTTGTTAAAATTTTAATTAAAATTGCTGGATTTCTCTCTCTCTCTCTCTCTCTCTCTCTCTCTCTCTCTCTCTCTCTCTCTCGGGTTGGCCGAAATTCGAACGATTTTTTACTAATTTAGCAGATTTAAAATATTTTGGTTGGAATCTCAACTAAAGAAATTTAGAATGATTCGTGTCTCAGCTATGCCGATTTTGTTAAAATTATTTAACTATATCTTGTATTCAATTTTATTTCTTATGTATTTTTATTATACTTGTTGATGATAGGAGTGAGAATATTAAAAAGCTATATACTGCCCGTGAAACTCAAAGTGGGTCAAAAAAATATGATCTAAATATTTTTTGTACTTCTACATTTGTACCAAATTAGAAAAAAATCAGAGTGTACTCTTTGAGTAGGATTACTTGTTAGACGCGAAACTCACTTTCAACAGACAAACGACACGTAAAACGCGCAGAGCGATGTCGATCGATGTGTTTATGGCGGTTGCTCGATTCAAAAAGATCAATACGCAACATGGCAGCGCAATTGAAGACGTACGTCGATAGTTTGCGTTAAAACGTGAACGATATCGCCTTCCTAAGTTTTATGTACAATATGCGGAATAAGCCGTAAGAATTGGCCAATCATAGTCGATTATTACAAGAATAATCAACTGTGATTGACCGATTCTTATGGCTTACGGGCACATATTGTAGACATATTGAAGCCTTACGCGTCATACTCTATAACTTTCCTCTCCCTTACTAGTAGACCTACGTTATCGCACAAAATTCGTCTTACTTCCTTTCGCTCTGATTATCATCGAATCTCTAATTCCTCATTAATAAACCCGGCAATCGTCCGATTCTGCTATTTGACTCAGTCGATGGTAAAAATGACTGTAAAAAACGCGGACTCGACAAGTACTCGACGTCGCGACAAGTATCGGTTGTGCGTCGAAAGACGAGAGAGTTATTCGCTACTTATATACGATACATCCCGACGACCACACATCGCTATTTCGGCACTTAGACGTGAGATTCACTTTCGGCAGACAAACGACGTGTAAAACGCGCGGAGCGATGTCGACCGATGTGGCAGTAGGGATTGTCCGACACAAAAACATCGACTATATTCGTGCAATACACATCGATAATTCGCGCCAAAACGTGAACAATCGCGGTTTGACAAAGATGCCCTCTCCCTTTCTCTCTCTTTTTCTCCTACTAAAATACTGAGACCTCCCGAGATTCAGCAGCGTCTTTTTCTCTTTCCCTTTGACTATCACCGAATTTCCAATATTCCGTAGATGATTCCGTAGATAGTAAAAATAGATATAAGAGACGGCGACTCGACACGTCGCGACAAGCACTGGTTACATGCGCCGCAAAACGAGAATCACTCACTACTTACATGCCACACGATGCCTCGCGCGTGACAGTCGCACATCGCTATTTCGGCACTTCCGACATCCATTTACGCGCAAAACTGACTTTCGATCAACAAACGACACGTGAAACACACAGAGCGATGTAGACCGTTGCGTCAATAGTAAACAACCCAGCGCGAAAAGATCGAAGATAGATCGATCGCATGCGTGAACGTCGTCGCGTTGTTACAACGGCGCCGTCTGTCGGTGACGCGGGTGCGTTATCACTCAATGCGGCGATCGATAGGTTCAGACTTTCGGCCAATCACATTCGTTCTAGTTATGCGGTTGTCATCATTGTCTATCAATGCATTATACATAGCACGAATTGTGCGAGCGTTTACCCATCTATTGTCGAGCATCCGTCATTAGAGCGTTGATCGACATCGCTCCGTGTTTTACACGGCTTGTCTGTCGAGTGTAAGTCTAAGTGTATTGTTCGTGGGCTGTTCGCGTTGTTTGCACTTTACACCTAATGCTCGTTGTACATTAGACTTCTCTTTAGAAAGAGGAGCTCTTATTGGATTTCATTCATCGCGTCTGGTGTACAACGGACATTAGGTGCAAAAGTGTCAAACGTGCAAGCAACGCGAACAAATCTAGTATCGGGAGTGCCGAAATATAACGATGTACGTCGTTGGGACATATAAGCGCGCAAGTGGCAAATAATCTTTCTGTTTCTTTATATAGGTCAGTGCTTATCACGTCGTGTCGTGTCGTCAAACGACGTATCGACGTTTTTTACAGTCGTTTCTACCATCTACTGATGCCCGTTTCTATCAACATTGGCTTTGACGGCTAGTTATTTCAACGGAACCAGTCGCAATCACGTTAGTTAGAACTGGTTAGATGCGATTGACAGCAGCAGCTTGAGTTAACTAAAGTTGGTAGAAACGGGCACGAGTCAAGTAGTAGTAGAATCGGACAATCGTCGAATTAATAGAGAATTAGAAATTTGGTAATAATTAGAGCGAAAGGAAATAAGATGACGCCGAATCTCACACGGTATGTCTAGTAGCAAGAGAGAAAAGAGTGTATAGAGCATGTTGTGTAAGGCTTCATATATAATATACGGAGTAAACCGTAAGTTATAAAAATTGGCCAATTATTTTTGTAATAATCGACTATGACTGGCCAATTCTTACGGCTTATTCTGCATATTTTACATGGAATCTAGGAAGGCGATACCGTTCACATTTCAATGCAAACTATTGGCATCTTCAATTGCACTGCAATGTTGGACATTGCCCTTTTTGAATCGAGCAACCGCTGTGAACGCATTGATCGAAATCGCTCCGCGCGTTTTACGTGTCGTTTGCCTGTCGAAAGTGAATCTTACGTTTAAGTCAGTGTCAGGAATGCCGAAACAATGTGCGATTGTCAGGACGTATCGTAAGTACGTAAGTAGGAAATAATTCCCTCGTTTTTCGACACACAACCGATCGCTTGTCGATTAATGAGAATTGGAAATTCGGTGATAATTTGAGGGAAAGAAAGTAAGACAACATCGAATCTCGCGTGGATAACGTAAGTCTGATAGCAAGAGAAAGAAGAATGTATAGATCGTGTCGTGTAAGACTTCGTCTACAATATGCGGAGTAAGAATTAGTCAATCATAGCTGATTATTCTCGTGATAATCGTCTATAATTGGTCAATTCTTACGGCTTGCTCCGCATATTGTAAGCGGAATTTAGGAAGGCGATGCGGTTCACGTTTTAACGCGAACTATCGGCGTACGTCTTCAATTGCGCTGCCATATTGCGTATTGATCTTTTTGAATCGAGCAACCGCCACGAACACATCGATCGCGCGTTTCACACGTCATTTGTCTATCGAAAGTAAATCTCGTGTTTAAATCAGTGTCGGGAGTGCCGAAATTGCGATATGGGATCGTCGGAGCATATCGTATGTGTAAGTAGCGACTAAATGTCCTTCTATCGTATATGCATCGTAGAATATCGCGCGTACTATATCGTCAATTACATGGCCATCTTGGACATCGGTCCTTTTGCACCGAGCAACCGTCACTTATATATCGATCAACATCGCTCCGTGTTTTGCGCGTCTTTTAACGGTCAAAAATGAGTCTCTTGCGCAAAAAAGTATGGCGAGTGTCGAAAATAGCAATGTGCGATCATCGGGACATGTCGTAAGTACTTTATTAGCGAGGAATCTTCTCATTTCTCGTATGTGGAATTGATGTTTGTCGCGACGTGTCGAGTCGACGTCTCTCTCTTTCTCTCTCTCTTTCTCTCTTTTTCCTCTCTCTCACGTTCACTATGGATTTACTAAAGTACCAATAGACTCGAACAATCTACCGACTTTTTCTTATTCTCAATTAAGTTTGAAACTCCATTCAAACAATGGAGACGATAGGTCTTTCTTTCTCTCTCTTCTCGCCACCGTAAAATCTTTGCACACGGCGGTATTATTGTACAGACTGTCTATTATTATTTGCGTTTTCTTCTCTTTCGTTCTGGAACTTTTAATATGATAAAGTCTTGACGGAATATCGACCGTGAGGATAATACGGTTTCGCGAAATTGCCGATACGTGCTTTATCAGGGAACAGCTTGTAACGCTAAACGGTTCCCTTCCCCCGTATCGACGATGTAAATCCGACACGCGGAAGTCAGCCTGTTTTCCGAAGCGCGAGGAAAGAACTCGGAGTATTTTCGATCGCGCGCGCACACACACTGCACTCAGGACGGAGAGAGCGGCAGCTCCCGGCGAAAAACAGGAACTGGGGCAAGGACTTGACGATTTCGCGCATGAGATAGTATCGTACGATTCGTTTACTTGCGTCCGCGAATACACGGAAGCACAGCTACACAGGGAATATTGCCCAAAAGCGGCGCTCGACGGAACGGACACAAACAAACGTTTAACTTATCGTAACAAATAAACACGAAAGTCTGAAAACAAGTTGTGGTGCTGCAGCGACGTATAGATGCGGCAAATAAAATAACACCGTCTAGCTACCACGGATAAACGAAATAGATCGAAATAGCAGTTTAATATACTTTGAGCTCGGAATTTATTGCGATCCGTTTGCGGGGACTTTCGAATAATGAAAATAAACCAGGCTGTTGGCGAAAATAGGGAGAGAGAGAGAGAGAGAGAGAGAGAACGATGAAAGCTCAAATTTGCGGGTACGCCCGCTCTTCACGATCGTTACCATTTAGACTAATTGAATGCTATTATCATTTATCAGCGGAACGAAAGAGGTGAAAAACGCGGAGAACCAGAGCCACAGTCAGTTCCTGTCGACGTAGCTGCAAGTTCGTCGTTCGCGATGAAATGTAAGTAATTTCTTTGCACCTACCCGGTACAGCTCGCATTGAATCCGACGTTCGAATTCGCGGAAAAGCCAAGCGAGGAAAGACATTGAGGAAGCGGTGAGCAGAGAAAAGAAAAATACTGTCCGCGCATAATAGACCTCGCGGGTCGCGCGGCGAATCCCAAGCGAGCGGGGACGGAAAAGCGAGAGCGACGGGATATCGGGCAGGTCGGGGGTGGAGGGGATTTGGGGATACGTCTTTCAGGAAAAATACGAGTTCAACCTGGCCGAGGCATTCGACCCGATACGGACAACACCACGACGGCCAAACTTCTCTCTTTCTCTTTCTCGAGTCGCGAGACCTCTATTGATTCCGCGTTATTCCTTCGCCCATTCCCGGCGAAGAATTGAATCCTTATCCTCGCTATAGTCCGCCTCTATGGTTCCATCACTCGCCTTTGTGCTCCGTCCCTTCTCGCCTCTTGTTCTTGATTTCTATATCGCGCTCGTCCATTTTTCTCACTGGTGTTGCGGTCTGTTCTCGCGGCCGAATGCCGACCGCACGGGACGGAAATTTCTCGTCGTGAAAATCTAATGTATCGTGTCTATTTCGAGTGCGCTTTATTCACCCGCGAAGCTGATTGATTTAACGAACGAACTAATTAATTTAGAGAATGAGAAAAAGAAGACATACGAATTTGAGCGTCAAAATATTTGATCTTGTATTCGCGAATATACAATACACAAGTTTTGCGAGCAATTCTCTTTCCTCTAATACTCGAACAACTACGTATTGTATAAGAGAAATATCTAAGGGATTATTTCGACATACCTACGCGCAGAAATTTCTCCAACTACCGGTCTTAAGAAGGCACTTGGAGGCAGCTTAGAAGGCTTCTTACGAGTAAAGAACGAGGTAAAGGGAGAGAGAGAACGAGAGAGAGAGAGAGAGAAATACACACGTATATGTACACACCGCTATGTACATGTACACACTCGTACACCGGTATATCTGCGTGCACTATTGCCGAAGCGTCGAGAGAGGCTTTGATGAACATAATGAACGACTCAGTGCCGCCAGCGCGAGCGTTTTCTTTTAAGCTTTGGTCGAATATTGTTCTCCTCGTTTCCGTTTTATAGTACGCTCGGATTCGCGATACACTCTATGACAACTGCTTCGCGGACGAAAAACACGCGAAAGAAGCGAATAGCTCGAAGATCTATCGTGCGACTGTGTGCAAAAAACGCGTGAACAACCATTTAAGTAAAAGGTTAGAATTGGGCTCAATAACATGGAAATTAACACAGCGAAGTCGTTATGATCACATGAGCGCATTGCGAGAAGATATCGTATCCAATCGAGAATATCGCGATTTTCATTCATCATCACGGCACAATTCTCAAAACATATGACAAAAGATAGTACTGCGAGATCTTCTGTATAACACGTGATTTTACATACCTGAAGATACATGACGTATACTACTGTGTCCGTCTCGTCTGCATTTTTCGTTCTAGCTTTCTCGACTTTCGTTTATTTCGTCGTAAAAATCCGAATATTCACCCGCGGCGATTCGATTGGAGATTAAGTTATATCAGCTTATCAGCTTACTACATATCTTACGCGATGTCGTCGAGGAACACACGATTAAACGTATTACGAACCAGCGAAGTATTTCGATCTCCCGATGAGAATTCTAACTAACACGACTCGTGTATGTAGCGTCGCGGTGTGTTTATCACTCGACGGCTCGAACAAAACAAGCCAGACACGCGGTTCGGCATGCGACGCCCGGTAGCTGCGACCGTCTTGAACGATGTTTTGAGTATCGACTGCTACCTCTCAGTCGCTGTACGTGAGTGTCGTTCATTGTCGGCGAATAACATTTGGCGATTGACGCGCGCGACTCGATCATTGGCGATTATTTTGCTTTACTCGAGCGTCTCCTACGCGTTACGGTATATGTGAGTCTCCGGGTAATTCAAATTTTCGTAATTCGCAGTAGATGGCACCACCTCACCGACACCGAAGCGAATTGAAGCTCCGCACTTTCGGTGTAAGCAGCGCCGCAAAGTACAGCTAAGCTGCCACCGCGAAGTGCAGCAGCCATTTTGTCTGCGCAATATGTCCGCCAAATTACGCGCGTTTTCCGCGTAAAGTGATCGAGCTCCCGTTAGCATCGTGTTAATTGATATGATTTCGCCGTTCGAATCGTACCTATGCGAGTATCAGTGTTATGAGGAAATGTCAGGAGCAGTCAGAAACAGTCAGGAGTCAGGATGCTGGATGTTGAGTAGGGAAACCAAGACGTGAGACGCGGAACGTCGAGACGCGCATAAGCAGAAGTATGTCCTGTATTTTCTAAATTTCTTGGAGTGGAATCTCGCTCAAGACGAGTGAAATGTGGTAATATTTCCACTAGTGCTCTCAATTCCGGATACCGGAGTAAGTATCCGGATCATTTGGATATTACCCAGGTATTTCGGATCTTTCGAGTTTTACCCGAGTATCCGTATCTTTCAGATATCACTCGAATATATCAACTTGAGCCTACTCGAACAGACAGCACGTTTATTTTGCGCGTCCATACGTTTTTTACATATGAACAACTTGCGGCTAACTTAATTTAATAAATATATGAAATAATGTGACACTTCTAGGTTGATTTTTTAAAATAATAACAAATAACGAACGAATGCATTATATGCTCGTAATTATTTATTTATTTTTCGAGTGGAATTTCACTCCAAGAAATTTATAGATCAAGTGTCTAAAGATGTATGAAATCATCAATTTTACAAGAGATGTCCGATCTTAACATACATTTAACGAGTATATACAAGGAGATGCATATAATCTAATGAGATTAATGAAATTATAACTATCTGCCAAAGTATAACGTATTACTGATATTAACCTAAATTCCGACTGGGCGCGCCAAAATCAAATTAATCTTAGCAGCGACTAGTCAAGAGCTTATTATTCCGCGCGTAAAATTCTACTCGAGTGCACGACGTTGATATTTCCACGAGAGATACGCTAGTCTGTACTCACAAGTGGTCCTGCCGCTTGAACGCCTTGCCGCACATCACGCACACGTATTTCCTCTCGTCGCTGTGCGTCAGCTTGTGCTTCGTGAGCGCCGATGCGTTGTTGAATACCTTCCCGCAGACCTGCGACAGAGAAACGGCCGTCAGAACACAGCGGGCTCGCTCTATGGAAATTGGTGTTCGTCGTGAATCGCGATTAATTGCGCGGTCAAGAACAATCTCTTCCTCCCCCCTCCTAACCGCTTCGGTATTGCAAAAGAGAATGGAGAAAAAATCGCGTCGACGCGATTTCTTTTTCGTTCGAGTTTATTAGGGACGCGCGTCGAGTCGCACGGTCCGTTTTAAAGCCGCGCGACAAATTAGAGCGTGGCGCAATTTTCAATTAGCATGCATGACTCTCGTAAAGCGCACCGTCGTTTTATGACGGACATTAGAACGGCGGATACCAGGTGGCCATCGTGTGTGCGGCGCATACGACGCGAATCTCCGTTGTATATTCGCAGCTTACCGTCATACGGCGCGCAATTATTACGCCCGGCGTCGCCGGGGAGAACAATTTTCATAACTGACGATGCTCCTGTTTTTAACGCGACTGCCGCGGGAAACGACACGAGGTTGTCGTATCGTTCGACGAGTTTACTCCTTATTTGTCCTACGTGCTAAGAAAACAATTCAATAATGCCATGTCGATCGCACGTTTTGCGTGCACTGAGAAAGAAAGAAAATATCTGGAAAATAAAAAGAAACATTTATTGGTGGGGTAGTAACCACACGCTTGAATCTCACTCTTTTTGAGTAAACGATTGCTTTTATAAAAAACAACGGTGTGTTATGAAAAAGTATATATTTGTTTATTTGAAAGAAATCATTCCTCAATGTGTTGATCGGTGTGAGAAAATATCGAAATATTATTTTTTAATATTTTATATATTATATATACTTTATATACTTAATATTTCTTTTTCATTGTGCCATTATAAAAGATAAGATCTTTCGGATGATTTTACGAAATGCAATTTGCTGTTTATAAAAATACGCGGAAAGAGTTTGATTGAATTTAGCGCATTTCTTCATGCAAGCAATCAACAGCATCATTATATATCAAAAGATACTCATCGTTTTGCCTGTATGTCGCAAAATTAAATTGGCTATTCTCACCCGGAGATATCAAATTGCAGCGGTGGCGGCGGCGGAAATTTCACGGTAGTTAACGCAATCCTGACAAACGGCACCATTATCATCCGTTCCGTTACAGAATAAGAAATCGTCGTATCACCGTCGGTGATACCTCTACGCACGTAGAAATTACTCACGAATTTAACACCGTCCACATCGGGGATCCGGCCGGCCTCGGAGATGGTATGTCCGTTAAGTATGTGGAATTAGGTTTATTACACGCGCCTCCGGGTCGCGCACTATTTCAAGAACTATTTCAGGAAGCCAAAGGCCGAGGAATTGAGCGCGGCCGATGTTCCACCCGAAAGTCCAGCGCCTCGTTCGAATCGCCGACGAGTTTGCCGTCGTGGAAAATCGCGCAAATTCCGCGAGGAGCGGGCGTATCGATTAACGTTTGTGATAATAAATCCATCCTGCTTTGCCTGACGTTATCGTGCTGAGAGTGACGCACGATATGCGAAACGTGACAATACCTTTGTATTGCTGGAAGGAACAACGTGATTAAAATGTTAAAATCGTCGCGATAATGCAATGTTCTTATCAACGATATATTTCTCGAGATAACCCCTCGACTCAGTATTCAAAATTTCAAAATTAAATCACGGAGAGACTCGAAAGATCTACATCGATAAATCCGCGACGATAAGTCCGCAGCTTGTCGGATCTGCATTTAAACGATGCAAAATTGCGAAGTCAATTTTTCCTCGGAGCGCTAAGCGATTGCTTCATATCGCGGATAAATAACGATCCGTCTCTCTTCGTTTCGCGCTACCGCGAAATTGACGCAGAGATTAATCAAGTTCTTGCGGTGTGAACTTGCCACGACGTCGTCACAAAGAGCACGTTGAACGATCTGGCGTGCCAGTCGCACTTCGACATCAATAACGCGAAAAGTAAAAGATAGTCGCGGTGACGACGGCGTTGGCTAAACTCGCTCTAATGGCCCGGCTCGAGGAATCCCACGATCGAGATTTCGAATATCACGTCTCGGCGGCATCGGGAATTCGTCGTCACGTCGAAGGATTCGCGGTGCCGACGCGCGGCATTAAGCCGAAATTAATTTCCAATGCACCTGCGTCCGCCACGTGACGACGCGGGGGACGTGCGACGGCACGATTCCGGCTCTCCATTATCGGAAAAGTCCTTCCCGCTTCTCGTTTCGCTGTTATTTCCATTCGGCGCGGATAGCACGACGGGACGCGATTTGCCGCGCTGATTCCGGTTGAGGCGGCAAGCGGGGGCCGAAGTCGCGACTTTACCCGCCGGCGGTCCTTCTTCCGGCTCGAAAACCTGTGCTTACCCAGCGGAAGGGGAGAACAAGAGAAAGGGTTAAACGCCGAGCGTTTATCGCGTTATTTGAGGCTGTTGACTCTCGTTAAGTCACACACAAGGATCCGCGTGATGGCGGACGAATCGATTTTTCACCCGTGACTTGATTAAATTCACGGAGTAAATGTGCTGGAAATTGAAATTACAGGATCGATAGCACTATTTTTAGCACTTTTTACGCGTCGTAATTTAACTGCAGTAGCGATCGCGAGATCGTGCAGAAACTCGTTTGGCGAATTGGCTCTCCGATGGTGAAACAAAACAAAAAAGAAAAACACTTGTTGACATCCAGCGGCGTACGAAGTTCGCGCGGAATCCTCGCAAGCGTTCATGCAAAGCGATACTATTTAACGATGGCCCACGGTTGCCATGGCGACTCATGTATAGCTTAAACGATACAATCTGTCGGCAAACATTTGCTGAGATCTAGCAAACAGCCAACAAATTCCATTTCATAAAGGAACGAGCGTACATAACGAACGCCGACAATACGAGGAGAGAATTCCCCAGCATGACGAAAGAAATCCGGGCCATAGGTAGAAAAATTGCGCCACTTCCATTACCGGGGGCAGGTCCAGATTAAGCGAAAAGGTATTAAGACGTTCTCTGACGCGTCGCGGATAATATTGACTAAAGACGTGAAGCAGCAATGACGGGTCGAGTAGAGGGTAGGAGAGGAAGGAGAGGATAGAGAGACAGCAGAAAAAACATTGAGAGGAACATGAAAAAAAAGAAAACTACCAAGTAGGAATAAAAAAGAGGCAGAAGTGACGCAAACGCGAAAATTTGGGGCATGAAGAGATGGCAGCCGTCTGGATATCCACGAGGAGGAATGAAGGTTTGCGCACGGTTGGGGTGATCTCTCAGGAGCCGTCGGGGGTGGAGAGTGAAGAAGGGGAAGTTAGGTGGGCGCCAAGGGAAAGGGGAGTCGTACTTCTGGCTCCTAAGCAGAAAATCTAATTTGCGTAGCTTAACTCCTAAGGAGCTCCAGATGCACGGACGCCAACATACGGGAGTTTCAATTTACGAGGCGAGGACCAGGGAGAAAGATGAGAGGAACGGCCGGAATGACGGCGCGGGGGAAGCAGCAGAGCAGCAGCAGCAGAAACGGCAGATGGCGAGACAGGGTGAGAGATAGCGGAAAGGAAGAGGGCAAGGCAAGACGGACGAAGAAGAAGGAGGATGTTACGGAGAGCGAGAAGCCTCGACGAGAGAGCCCAACGACCGTGGGCACGGTCTTTCGCGTCCCCTACCCATCATCCTCGTGCCAAAACCCGTATCTTCCACCCCCGACGCGGTCCCTCCTTGAGAGCTAAACAAACATCATTACTCCTGGCCTTTCTGCTACCACTCCCTTTGCCAACCCGCCGTCTCGTCCCGAGACCCCCTGGTCGCACCACCACGCCGAGCACGATGGTTCTCGGCCGCCTCCACTTGGCTCACGACTGCAGTCCGCCCGTAGCGCCGAACCCGCCAATGTACACCGACCAACACCGGGCCCTGAATACGTAATCCCGCGGGTGGTAACATTGATACTTCGTTAAGAGGGAAGCCCGGCAGGGAGACGAGTCGCGGGATGCGGGAGGACACTTGGACCGAGCTGGTCGGGCTGGCGACCGACGATTCGTGGTTTAAGCCGGCCTCATCGATCGGTCGTTCCGCTTAACGGTCGTTTCGGCCAACCACGTTCGTCGTGGCCGCGCTCTGCGCTCAGAGATGAGGCGAACGGGCATGAGAGATCGGATGTGAAATCGCGCATGTCGCCAGCGAAGGCACTCCGGATACTCCGTTCTCAAGTTTCGACGGAACTACGTTCTCTGGGAGGATTTCCGTCGTCGAGAGCGGTTTTCGTTCTATCTCTCGCCCTCTAGTTTGAGGACCCCCGATCCGTGTCGTCTCCACGCGCAGACATAGACCGGCGATACAGTGAAAATACACGCGATAACTCGTGTAACCCGGCTCGGTAACTTATAAAAAAAATCAAGGGTCACCCACGATCTCTGTGCGAAAAATCGACGGGAAAATACGCGAAAGACGTTACCTTGTGCCAAGGTATCGTTCGATTACGAGAAAATAACTGCACTCTGACCACGCTGCTAGCTTAATTCGGCCGTGAGCGCGCGCGTGCAATAATAATCAGCCGCGAACGTTGACACCCGACGTGAAGAAGGAAAGCGAAGAAGCAGGGAAAGAGGGAGACAAGGGATTACTTCGTTATTTGAAGCTCGCTAAAGAGAGCAAGCGCGACTCGCGAATAAGACGCGTCTGCGGCTTCATCCGGTTAACGTTTGTTCCGGCTAACCACGTTCGTTCCGTCTCTTCTCTGGAGAGGTTAGGTGGTGGTGTAACCCCCGGGGGACGCGGGCGAGGCCGTGGGGCGAATGCAATTTGTTGCTTCCGGGCAGGCGAATCTTTTAAAGAAGTGCATCTTTTTACCAACAGCCGGTGAGGAGACGAGAAACTCGCGCTTCCGTAAATAATGAGGAAGGCAGCTGAGGCACGGTGCCGTTGTCGCTGCTGATGCTGCAAAGACACAAAGGTTCGCCGCCATGATGGCGCGAGAGGATATTATTCTCGTTGAGAGTCGGGGACAAGGCGAGTAATGCACGAATGGACTG